TTTTTTTTTTTTTTTTTTTTGGAAGATACCTTTACTAAATCGCCAAAAGCAGAACGTAAATTTGTTGGAGTGAAGGTTGGGTGAAATTCTAAAGATTGTGCGCGTTTAGTCACGATGGAGTAAGCTCTGTGTTATTGTACAGACAGTGTACTGTTCTTGTACCGTCTCACATTTTTGTTTATTTCGTGCTGGAAAAACTCTATAGCTTTTTCACTTTTCTTGTTCTTTTTTTGATGTTTCCCAGCAGTTGAATAGGAAATGCCAATTCACTGTGTTGATGTTTGTGTGATGACGTCTCAGTTTACTTTCAAAATTTTTTTCAAAACCCATTATTCAACCGGTATCCTGACGAATTCGTCACAATTGTTTTCGATCTCACTGTCGCCTTGACGGAACGTCTCAAGCTGGTAATATACTGTGGATTTTTGAAGAGCATTTCGTTTAAAAAATAGATCATGTTGCGATGTGCCTCAGAATTACATGAAGCACGTCCAAAAATTTGATGAAAGATTGTGGAAATGACAGTGATTTTACATGACTATCTCAATTCGCTTTGTAATCAGCTGAAATTTTGGACAAAATTAGTAAACCAACTAAAATGACAACATGTCTTACAACTTTTAAAAAGTTGCGAACATTTTCGGCAGCCATTTTATAGTTCAATGAAGTGTTAAACCAAATCAATCAAATTGCAGTGCTGCGGTGACTTACAGTGTGGAGTCATTTAAAACTTATAATATTTTACATTTGGCGGCTGCATAAGCCTGTCGTTTAGAACGTTTTTGTGGCAGTGACAAAAGCTTTTTAGAACGATAAAATTTTAAAGCTTCATGAGTGCATAAGGAAAATATTTAAATAACAGCTGGAATAGCGATGGTACAAACAATTACAACTTGATTAATGTGAGACCGATGACTACAAAATGTTGAGATTTCAAAAAAGAAAAGTTTTAGTAAAATTTGTTGCAGTTTTCTGAACATTCGATGTTGTCAAGTCTTTTGTGATAAGCAAATCTCGGTTTAATCTATGTATATCGGTTTAATCTATCTTATATTACAGTATTCTTCTATAATATAGCCTTGCACAGATTTGATATAACATGATGATCAGTTTTTTGTAGCAGATTTCAGCAAAACTTTCAGATCTACTGCAGCAGTCCAGTTTGGACCGCAAAGAGTTTCAATTGTCCTCACTGTTTGTTCCACATTTATTGTCGCGAAGAACCAGCTAGCAAGTGCAAAACCTTTTGTACGATAACGTTCTGGCATCTCGGAAATTTGTTGCAAGAGTTCACTGTCAAAGTTAATGTCTTCTTTGGTGAAATTATATTCCAGAGGATAGTTTGCGTCAAAAACAACGTCCAACATGTGATACTGCTTCATTTTTATGATCAAAAGAAATGTCATAACCTCGATACTGTATTTCTTATGATATTGTTTTAGCACTAAAGGGCATCCAGTGTTGATTGCTAGCATCCATGCGTACAGTATATTGTAATCCAAATTAACTAGTTCGAGTGCGGCAACCGCAGAAATTTCACCGCCTGCTCTGCTTAATAAAAATATTCGAGAAGGTTGACGAAGTAAACCCCACAAGAAAGCACAGATCTAAAAAAAAGAGTAACTTTTGTGATACTAATTTTCAAGAGATTACGCGAGAAATTTATGTAAAAAGGCCTAGTAGGCAACTCAAAAAGGGGCTTAACTAGATACTGTTAGTCGGAGGTAATTAATAATCGCCTTTCTGTGACCTAATACTATTCCAAAAAGCAAAAAAAGAAGGAGCATTTAATGCAATGAAGCAATCTTCCTGCCAGGAACTTACTTCTTGAAGACCATTAACAGCAGCAAATTTGAAAGCTATAGTTCCTGGGACTTGCTTTCTTTCGTCTTCCCCAGATATGTCATTTTTTATTTTTATGGGCCACAATAAACTACAACAGGGTGAAAAATTAACAAGTAGAGGATCTACTAATCAGCAGTACTTAAATATTTTAAATTTTACAGTTGAAAAATTAAGAATTTTTCTCATTTTTTTTTCTTTTTAAACTAGCAATTACAAAGGCATTTACCTGTAATTTCAATGTCAAAATGTTTATGGTACGAAGTGTTCTTGATCAATTTGAATCAACACTACAATCGCTGAAGACAAACTTACTTTTGAAAATGAGAAAGAAGTTCTGAAGTCCATTCCACTTGTATTCGAACTGACGCTAAATTTTTTAAAGAAGATAACTTCCAGTCCACAGTAAGATTGTTGGTAACAACAATAAAAGTGTAATTAATTGTCCAGAATCTAGCAAAAGTTTTAGCGTAAATTAGTAGATCATCATGTAGATTTCGAATGACTGTTTTAGTAGATTTTGGTAGCCCATTAATAACCTCCAATTGATCATCCTGCAGTGCAGCAAGTTCTCTTGCACAAAGTGCCTTTAGTGATTGTAACATTAGTGAAAAACAATATTTTAAGAGTTGGTAAGGTTTTTACCAGTGAACATCTAATGAAGCACTTGATGATTATCAGTTTTTCAAGCTAGCTTTTAAAGCTTAAAACAGAAAATAATTGAGGAAGATGCACAAAAAAACTGGAAGGTTTAAAGAGAGTACAACGAACATACAAAAATTTTTTGACGTTTTCTCTGGTTGTTAAATGGGACGCATTTCTGTAACACTGTTCAATCAATACCTGAGAAAAACATGTTTGGGGTTTTCTTTCTAAAATTTTTTTCTTTTTCTTTAACAGTTTATTAGGTAAAATGCACAATCACGTTGTTTTGAATCTGTAATTTATTATAACAAATATTTTGATTTTTTATAAAAAAAAGTACAAAATTTTATTGCTTTTTTGTTCTCGTGATCGCTTTTTTAGGCACAGTATCGTAACATAATATTTTTGATTTATATTTTTAAAAAACTAAATTAAATCTTCTTATGCTTCTTTTTTCCTCAGTAATGACATTACATAGGTGCCTATTATAAGCAACAAAAACAATAAACTTTGATCGACTTTCTGTAAATGCTTATTTCATACAATATGTAGGGCAAAAAACGACTAACTGTTGTTGGCTTTTTCTAACCACTTTAATTTTTGTTTGTTACTTTATATTTCTTTGAAAATTGAATAAGACAAATAGTAAG